CAGCAGTGTCCCTACCACCCACGGTGCGAAAAAGCGACAAAATTTACTTACCTGAACGACCCTGCTGGCAGACGCCATCTTGCTGCCCATCATGACCCCGGGATGGGGCAGCTTCCGGGGCAGTAGCTAGGCGCCGATATAACAGGAGTCCAGGGCAGCTGGGGGCGGGCCCTGCCTGTGGCGTCATGGAGGAGGGACGAGCCGGCAATCCGTGGGATCGTCCTCCACCGCGGAGCTAACCCACCCTCTGCGCCTGACCCCGCCCCCGCCCCGTCCCGCTTTCAGTCTAGGAATTGCCCCACGTGCTTCCCATTGTTCAGTTTTGCAGACGAAGGTCTGTGGTGTTCCGTGTGTTTTGCACATCAGCCTATGAGTAAATTAGGGCCATTTCCTTCTCCAGATAGTCAGATTCTAATTTAACTTGTGTCCAAAATTTAACCTGAAACCAAATACGAAGTCACGTGGCTTCCTAAAATAAACAATCTTGTTAAAACTTGGGAGTTAGGGGTACCTGGGTGGCTGTTGGTTAAGCAACTGCCTTCCGCTGGGGTAATGATCAGGGAGTCCCAGGATGGAGTCCCGCATTGTGCTCCCCACTCAGCTGGGAGTTTTCTTCTCTGCCTCGGGCTCTCTCTCTCCCCTGCTTTTGCTCTGTCAAATAAATAAATAAATAAATAAATAAAATCTTTAAAAAACTTTTTTTAAAACTTGAAACTAGAAAAAAAAATTGAAACATTTAATAAAGCAGATCTAACTTCTAATTAATAAAGTAGACGTGAAACAAGCTATATAAACTACTAGGAAGCAATGAGACAAATCATAACAAAAGTTTCTACAGATCAACTGGTTTAAGTCAGTGACTGTAGGAAAAATAGGGTGCCAGTGCATATAACCTCTCACTCAGTTCAACTTAAATATGCTAGTGCATAGGGAAAGCAGCCTTGGTTAATATGTAATAAATCTATGGGCATTGTCTTTGTTCCAATAAAACTTTATTTACAGAACAATCCAGCTGGTAAGCCAGTTTGCTGACCTCTGATATAAATGAAACAACCAACCAAAGCAACTGTGATCACCACCAACAACCATAATTAAAATATATACTAACAAAAGCACCACAGACCAGAATTTAAGACCGACTGAGATGTAAAACACTTGTGTCCCCAATTGAAAAAGCTGCTGAGCTCTCAAATGCCCTCTTCAGATATGGCCAAGATTAGTCATGGAAAGGGAGAACTTACCAAAGGGCAGAGTCAGAAACCACAGAACCTCTTCCAGTGAGTAGCACAAGTGCCTAAACAAAATGTATTTCCTCTCCCTAGGAAGGAGCACCTCCTATCATTTACCAAACAGTATTTCAGAATTGCTAACATTGTCCACTATTGTATGCTGGCTATGTGAAGCAACAGAATTTATCTTTTCAGTTCATTAATCTCCAGATCAGGAAGAGCCTTTTTTTTTTTTTAATAGGATTTTATTTATTTATTTGACAGACAAAGATCACAAGTAGGCAGAGAGGCAGGCAGAGAGAGAGGAGTAAGCAGGCTCCCTGCGGAGCAGAGAGCCTGATGTGGGACTGGATCCCAGGACCCTGGGATCATGACCTGAACTGAAGGCAGGGGCTTTAACCCACTGAGCCACCCAGGCGCCCCAGATCAGGAAGAGCCATTATTTGGACCTGATGTGAAAGTATCATGAGATCCTGAACTTTGAAACTGTTATGATTAGATGACACTCTTAAGTTACTCTCCTTGGTGAAGGAGGTGTCTTTTATGTGTAAAAAGGAAGTTAATATTTAAGACCAAGACTGTATACTGTAGTGGACTGTATTCTTTACAAATGTCCATTTTCTTGCGCCCATTCTGAAACCCAGCACTCCCCTACTGTGGAAGTATACTTTCCTGTCACAGTAAGATTTGGCTTGGTGAACAGAGCCTTGGTGAAATAATGTACACCTCTTCCAGACACTTTAAATGTGCTTGTGTAATTTGACTTTGCCACATTAACTATGAGAACGTTTTAGACAGTGGATGCTCCTCAGGTCCTCCAATGATCAGCCAAACTATGGATCCAAGAGAGATATAAATGTTTGTTAAAAGCCAGGGAATTGTTCAGCACTTGAGGAAAAACTGACTAATGAAATTTCTGTCTCAGGTTTGGGCTTTAGAAGGGAATACAAAGGATAAGAAAATCCCAGGAAAATGCAAAAAGATTTTTAGATGATGCTGAATCTTTACATCAGGAAGGTATTTTCCAGAATAATGCTTTTCTGTAAGAAAAATGTAACTTTTTTTTTTAAAAGATTTTATTTATTTATTTGACAGACAGAGATCACAAGTAGACAGAGAGGCAGGCAGAGAGAGAGAGGGAAGCAGGCTCCCTGATGAGCAGAGAGCCCGATGCGGGACTCGATCCCAGGACCCTGAGATCATGACCTGAGCCAAAGACAGCGGCTTAACCCACTGACCCACCCAGGCGCCCGTAACTTTTTTTTTTTAAAGATTTTATTTATTTACTTGACAGAGAGAAATCACAAGTAGGCAGAGGGCAGGCCGAGAGAGAGAGAGAGAGAGAGAGAGAGAGAGAAAGAGAGAGAGAGAGAGAAGGAGGCTCCCCACTGAGAGCCCCATGCGGGGCCCAATCCCAGGACCCCGAGACCATGACCTGAGCCAAAGGCAGAGGCTTTAACTCACTGAGCCACCCAGGCACCCCAAGAAAAATGTAACTTATTGGGGTGGCCTGAGTAGGTCAGTTGGTTGAACTTCCAGCTTAAAAAAATGTTGAAGGGTGTCTGGGTGGCTCAGTCAGTTAAGCTTGGGTTATGATCTCAGGGTCCTTGTCCTTCTGCCCCTACCCCCACTCATTTGCTCTCAAATAAGTCAAAAAAATCTTTTAAAAAAGAAAAAGAATGTTGAAAATACTACATTGTCCATAAAAGTGATCAACAGCTCCAAACTCAATTTATTTCAATATTCAATTATTTGAATAAGGAATTCAAACTAGAGCTTTCTCTAAAAAGGGATGGGATACTATAAAAGATAGCAAGTTTTTTTTTTTTGAAGTTTTTATTTATTTATTTGACACAGAGAGATCACAAGTAGGCAGAAAGGCAGGCAGAGAGAGAGGGGGAAGCAGGTTCCCTGCTGAGCAGAGAGCCCGATGCAGGGCTCTATCCTTGGACCCCGAGATCATGACTGGGGCCGAAGGCAGAGGCTTAAACCACCCAGGTGCTCCAAGTTTGTTGTTGTTTTTTTTTTTAAGTTTATATATTTTTAGTACTCTGTAAACCCAACATGGGGCTTGTACTCACAAGTACATGAGAGTCACATGCTCTACCAACTGAGCCAGCCAGGTGCCTGAGCAAGTTCTATTTTTTTTTTTTTTTTAAGATTTTATTTATTTATTTATTTTTTTAAAAGATTTTATTTATTTATTTGACAGATAGAGATCACAAGTAGGCAGAGAGGCAGGCAGAGAGAGAGGAGGAAGCAGGCTCCCCGCTGAGCAGAGCCCTATGTGGGGCTCAATCCCAGGACCCTGGGATCATGACCTGAGCCGAAGGCAGAGGCTTTAACCCACTGAGCCACCCAGGCGCCCCAAGTTCTATTTTTTTTTTTAAAGATTTTATTTATTTGCCAGAGAGAGAGAGTGAGTGAGCACAGGCAGGCCGAGTGGCAGCAGAGGCAGAAGGAGAAGCGGGCTCCCCACCGAGCAAAGAGCCCGATGTGGGACTTGATCCGAGGATGCTGGGATCATGACCTGAGCCGAAGGCAGCTGTTTAACCAACTGAGCCACCCAGGCATCCCCCCAAGTTCTATATTTTAATAAGACAGAGTAACATTTACTCTTTTTACTTTTTAACTTATACAAGTAATATGTGATATAGAAATACAAAATTAAAAAGTCACAATTACTCTATAATAACCACAAGCCTTAACATTTCAGGTACGTTTTATCTTTTTTGTTTTCAAGATTGAGGTGCTTTATTTGGGTTTCTGTTTAAAGAAATGTGGATGGGGGATATAGGGTTGGCTCAGTTGTTTAACTGTCTGCCTTTGGCTCAGGTCATAATCCCAGGGTCCTAGGATGGAGCCCCACATCTGACTCCTTGCTCAGCAGGGAGCCTGCTTGTCCCTCTGCCTGCCATTTCCCCTGCTTGTGCTCTCTCTCTCTGTCAAATAAATAAATAAAATCTTTAAAAAATTAAAAAAAAATAAAGATGTAGATGGGAAAAGAAATAAAGATAAGGATGGGGTGTGGGGGACTTGGGGAGATGTTGCTCACAGAATACAAAAATATAGTTAGAAGATGAGTAAGTTTTTGGAGAGCGAATGCATAGCATTGTGATTATAGTTAAGAATACCTTACTGTAGGGGTGCTTGGGTGACTCAGTGGGTTAAAGCATCTGCCTTTGGCTCAGGTCATGATCCCAGGGTCCTGGGATAGAGCCCCGCATTGGGTTCTCTGCTCAGCAGGGAGCCTGCTTCCTCCTCTCTCTCTGCCTGCCTCTCTGCCACTTGTGATCTCTGTCTGTCAAATAAATAAATAAAATCTTTAAAAATTAAAAAAAAAATACCTTATTGTACATTTGAAAGTCGCTAAGATCTTAAATCTTCTTACCACAAAAAAGAAATAATTATGTGACTGATGGAGATGTGAGCTAATGCCATGGTGGTCAAAATCAACCCATTGTATACCTTCAACTTATACCATGCTATATCATTTACAATGCTATATATATCAATACAACTGATAGTTGAAAAAACATCAAGATATGGATACTCTTTCTCATTTTTCAAATATTTTAGTTGACTGACAAATGTACAAAAGTATTCCAAATAATGGGGGGTGGAGGGATGGGTTAAATGGATGATGAGTATTAAGGAGGACACTTGTTGTGATTAGCACTGAGGTGTCAAATGTAAGTGATGGATCACTAAATTCTACTCCTGAAACTAATATTACACTGTATGTTAACTAAATGGAATTTAAATAAAAACTTTAAACTAAAAAGAATAAAAAAAGGAAGAGAGAAAAGAAGAGAAAAAAAGAAAAAGGAAAAAAAAAGTTGTTTTCCAAATGAGTTGGGACTGCCAGGAATGTTGTTAAAAAAATGTCCACATTCAGTGGAAAGCTTAATTAGATGTCTTTTGGGACCCTTGCCAGGCTATGACTTTCAGATTCTTTTAGAGAATGCCAGTCACTTTAATTAATATATTTGAAAGAACAAATTCCATGTTATAGTATTAAGCTACAAAAGTTTGCAATATTAGTTCCGAGAATACTAAATAAAAATTTTACTTGAAATTTGCTATTTAAATGACATATCAAGATTAAAGCAAAAAATGACAAAACAGAATTCTTATTAGATCATGGTGAGATTCTTCTCAAGCTGTAGAACAATTTCCTTAAAAGCAGGATCCTCTGCCCAATTGGCTTTACTTCCTAAAATAAGGTTCTGTAATAAAAAAGAAAAAAATTTATATTAAAGTTATAAGTACGATTACAAATTTAGCAAGATTTTTAAAAATTCTTACAATAATTTTTTTAAAAAGGATTTTATTTATTTTTTTGAGAGAGAAAGGGAGAGACCACAAGTAGGAGGGAGGAACAGAGGGAGAGGGAGAAGCAGGTTCCCTGCTGAGCAGGGAGTCCTATGTGGGGTGGGCTCAATACCAGGACCCTGGGATCAGGACCTGAGCTGAAGGCAGACACTTAACCAACTGAACCACCCAGGCGCCCCCCCTTCACTAATGTTATCAAATATTTACCAATAAGGTATGGGCATCTACTCTATAAAAAACATATTCTTGGGGGCCCGGTTGGCTCAATCAGTTAAGGGTCTGACTCTTGGTTTTGGCTCAGGTCCTGATCTGGTAGGATTGAGACAGAGCCCCCCCCACCCCACCCCTGCACACGCGTGTGCCCACACACACACAACTCCATTCCCTCAGGGCAGAGTTTGCTGCTTGAGATTCTCTGTCCCTCTCCCTCTGCCCCCTCCTCCTACTTATGCACGTTCACTCTCTCTCAAATAAATGAATAAATAAGTAAAACCTATTTAAAAAAGAAAAAATACATTCTTGTATCCTCATTTCCACTTCAGTAAGGTTTCATACTTGATTCTCATAATTCTAGAGAATATTTACAATGCTTACAACAATTTTTTTTGGATTCATCAGTTTTTGGGATGTTTACAGTGATATTCTAAATTAAAGGAAAAAGACTGCAGCTATGGTTCAGTCATTTTGCACTTCTATAGTGAAAAACAGTTTAACCATAAACTATTATGCCCTATTTATTTAAATAGAAAAACTATGGCTCAATGATACCAAGTTACTAATTCAAATTCTGTTCAAATAGATTTTAGAATTTAAGTGTTATATTGTTATATATAAAAATACTTAAAAATATGGCTTACACATGGCACATTCTTGCTATAGGGCTGGTGTATGTAAATCCAATTAAATTTACAAACGCAAGGGGAAGTAAGCATTCAAGTATGACTGAACCCATTAGGGGCAGGAGCTCCTAATGTAGCCAAAGCTGTGTTCTGCTTAACAAAGCAATGATTTAATTACATCAAAATTAACGCTAAGAGGATATGAATAAAAGCTAAGAAAGACAAAATAATAGAAGTCTCAAAAAGTAGTAGGAAGAAAAGTATGCCAAAGAAAATTAATATGATCCTGTATTTATGATGCAATTCTCCACTGGAGGTTAGTCTAAGGGACTTCCTTACTCCTAATAGAGTAACCTACTGCTACTAAAAGGTAGGTTTAAAACCTGATGAAGAGGGGAGCCTGGGCGGCTCAGACGGTTAAGCAACTGACTCTTGGTTTTGGCTGAGGTAAGGACCTCAGGGTCATTAGACTGAGCCCATGATGGCTCTGTGCTCAGTGTGCAGTGTGCCTATGATTCTTTACCCCTACTCTCCCTTCCCACTGCTTGTGTTCTCTCTTAAATAAATAAATAAAATCTTTTTTTTTTTTAAGATTTTATTTATTTATTTGACAGAGATCACAAGTACGCAGAGGCAGACAGAGAGAGAGGTGGAAGCAGGCTCTCCGCTGAGCAGAGAGCCCGATGCGGGTCTCGATCCCAGGACCCTGGGATCATGACCTGAGCCGAAGGCAGAGGCTTTAACCCACTGAGCCACCCAGGCACCCCAACAAATAAAATCTTAAAATAAAAAGAGACCTGAAGAAGAATTTCTTATGGTCAGCTATAAGAACTCATATTCTACAAGGATATGCTTTACACATAATAAATATTTGCTTTACACATAATGGGCAGTTTTAACTGTGTATCTTCCTAATTGAATCTAGTAATATAAATATTTCATTTCATCAGTTTGAGACATTTTATAATTCAAAAAAGTAATGAAAACCCTCCAGAACTGGGATGTCTGGGTGGCTCAGTCGTCTAAACATCTGCCTTTAGCTCCAGTCATGATCCCAGGGTCCTGGGATAGAGTCCCACATCTGGCTCCTTGCTCAACAGGAAGCCTGCTTCTCCCTCTGCCTGCCACTCCCCCTGCTTGTGCGTTTGCTCTCTTGCACTCTCTCTCTGACAAAAAAATAAAATATAAAAGAAAAGAAAAGAAAAGAAAACCCTCCAGAATAAAGGAGCACATAAAATTTAAGAGGTAATATGCTAATAACTACCAACATTTATTGAGAATTTACTTGGACCAGACATTATGCTGAACAGATTAACATGAATTATCTTTTAGGTTTTACAACCTTTCTTTCTAAATAGGGAAACTAATGTTTAGAAAACTTAAATAATTTGCTCAAGGTTCACAACTTTTAAGTTGCAGTATGGAACATAATTCTAGATTTCCATTACCTGCATCCATGTTTTCCCCTACCTCCCAAGTTTAAGTTCTAATGCTTTCCATCATTATACCTGTCTCCACAAAGCTGCTAAAGTCATTACACTTACAAATGCCTAAGTTCTAATCATAATGAAAAGTCAAAGCCTTAAACATTAAATAGATACAAATTTGAAATATACATAAACAGACTAATATTTAGTATCGAATTCATGTTTTTTCAGGATCAAAGACTAACTGAAAGTAAATCTGAACAGAAACAATCATTTTTTTTTTTAAGATTTTATTTATTTATTTGACAGACAGAGATCACAAGTAGGCAGAGAGGCAGGCAGAGAGAGAGGAGGAAGCAGGCTCCCTACTGAGCAGAGAGCCGGATGTGGGGCTCGATCCCAGAACCCTGGGATCATGACCTGGGCCGAAGGCAGAGGCTTTAACCCATTGAGCCACCCAGGTGCCCCAGAACCAATCATTTTTAAAAAGTTATTTATCTACTTTCCTTATATAAATGTTACCTGAAACACATGTTGAATAACTGTAGTAATTTGTATCTCCATCTGCAGGTTTTGTTGTATGGTCTTTATCTTGTCCGAATTTTCCATAACAGCCAAATCCTCTTTTTGTTTGTTCTTTTCAGTCTGTATTTCTAAAAGCTTACTTTCTGAAGCTTGTTTTAATTCTATCAGGTTAAAAAAAATACATTATTGAACAACTCCTACAAACAAGAATCTGGAGAAACTGTGAAGCAGAACAATTCCTGACTATATCAAGAGAAAATATTTAATAAGCATCATTTTAAGTTGCAAATCCATTTTGATCTGAAAATGACTTTCGTGATGAAAAATACCAGTATTTTAACTTTATCCTTAGCCGTGTCCTGCATTATAATGACACCTGTCTACTTACGTTTGAAGTGACACCATGTTAAAGAGAACTTACTCAGGGTTGCCAAAAGAAAGGCAGAAGATATATGTAAGGAAATACCTTTTCCTCCTTTATTTACAAAAATGACATATCAACAAGATAAATTTCCAGTTAAGAGATTCTCTTCTCCAGCGATAAACACATCATCAACCATTTCCTGTAGTTCCTGAAAGGTTCTAAGAATTAAAGTATCTCAAAACATAAATAGGTGTGTCCCAGGAGCTTGGTTCCTTGATATTAATGGATCAAAAATAGGTTGGAATTCAAGGAAAAACATTGAACATCCGAAGGGTGATTAGATCAGATGACTGGAACTATTTCTGACCCTGAGATTACTTACAAAGAAGCAAATCTGTGTAATATATAAAAACAATAAATCATGCCCATACTATTAAATGAAAAAGGCAATTTACAACATAGAATAAAATGAGGCCAATTTTATTAGATAAGAAATAAGCACTGAAGGCACCCCTGAGAGGCTCAGTCAGGTAAGTGTCTGACTCGATTTCTACTCAGGTCATGATCTCAGGGTTGTGAGATCAAATCCGACACCTATCTCCTCAATCAGCATGAAGCCTGCTTGAGATTCTCTCTCTCCCTCTGCTCCTTCCCCTGCTCCTGCTCATGCCTTCTCCCCCTCAAATAAACAAAAAAATAAAATCTTTAAAAAAGGGGTGTGGGCACCTGGGTGGCTCAGTTGATTAGATGGCTGCCTTCAGCTCAGGTCATGATCCTGGAGTCCCGGGATCAAACTCCACAATGGGCTCCCTGCTCAGCGAAGAGCCTGCTTCTCTCTCTGGCCCTCACCCAGCTTGTGCTCTCTTGTGAGTGTGAGCACTCTCTCTCTTAAATAAATAAAATAAAAATCTTTAACAACAACAACAAAAAGAACCACTGAAGAGTGATTATATCTTGATAGTAAATTTAAAAATTTTACTTTCCCTAAGTATACTTTTCTGTTTCCAAATTCTACTGAAAATGTGTATTATTACTTTAAAAGTTTCAATAATTTCAATGCAAAAAGCCATCTCATGTTAAGTTAAAAATCTGTAGAATTATATGTATCAAATGATAATTTAAAATTATGTATGTATAAAGAAGACATTCAAATGGCCAAGAGACACATGAAAAAGTGCTCAATATCACTTGACATCAGGGAAATATAAATCAAAACCACAGTGAGATACTACCTGATACCAGTCAGAATGGCTAAAATTAACAATTCAGGAAATGACAGATGATCCAAAGGATGCAGAGAAAGGGGAACCCTCCTACACCATTGGTGGGAATGCAAGCTGGCACAGCTACTCTGGAAAAAAGTATGGAGGTTCCTCAAAAAGTTGAAAATAGAGTTACCCTACCACCCAGCAGTCACACTACTGGGTATTTACCCAAAAATATAAATGTAGTGATCTGAAGGGGCATGTGCACCTGAATGTTTATAGCAGCAATGTCCACTATAGCCAAACTATGGAAAGAGCCTCAATGTCCATCAACAGATGAATGGATAAAGAAGATGTGGTATATATATATACAATGGAATATTATGCAGCCATCAAAAAGAAATCTTGCCATTTGCAGCGATGTGGATGGAACTAGAAGGTATTATGCTAAGTGAAATAAGTCAATTAGAGAAGGACAATTATCATATGATCTCAGTGATATGTGGAATCTGAGAAATAAGGCAGATCCCATAGGGAAATAGAGGAGAAAAAAAAAACAAGATGAAACCAGAGAGGGAGACAAACCATAAGAGACTCTTAATCTCAGGAAACAAACAGAGGGTTGCTGGAGTGCAGTGGGTGGGAGGGATAGGGTGGCTGGGTTATGGACATTGGGGAGGTTATGTGCTATGGTGAGTGCTGTGAATTGTGTTAAGACTGTTGAATCACCTGTACCCCTGAAACAAATAATACATTATGTGTTAATTAAAAAAATAAAATAAAATTATGTATGTATAAATATGTTTACATGGACATCGAAAAAGTACTGGAATGATATATACCTAACTGTGGTCACACAGGAAGGAAATATGGGTTTCACATTTACTTTCTATATCATTTGATTTTTCTCTCGTGAGAATATATTAATTTTGTGATTTAAAGTTCTAAAACAACAAAAATGAATCAAGTGAACATTTTATATACTACTTTTAAAAATGCTATGTGTAAAATTTTAAGAAAATCTGAAAATTAAGAAATTTCTCAATGGCTGAGGTAACTGGCCTTATCAATCTCCACAGTAAGTAAAAATGTTTTCTGCAAAAAACAAAACAAAAAAACTGTTCTACATACGTAATCTCTTCTTTCTAACATCAAGTAGTTTTTCCTCCAAATCCCAAGATTCCTGTTATTAAAAATAAAAAGATTAAGGTGCATTACCTAAGAATAAACCTATAATACATCACTGAATTTTTTCTATTACCCATGTTTTCCAAACCTCCTGTTTTCAATCCCTTTATTTCCATACCAAAAAAGAAAAAGGACAGTAGCTTAAATTTTAAGTAAATAATTAGCCACAATAGACAGAAATAACTGAGTTATGAGAAAAAGAAAACTTAAGAACAGTGAATTCCAATCATACCAGTAATCTTTGGGAATCTTGTATAATCACACATAATACAGTTGCCAGCAACAAGACACTGAAATCATGAAAATGCATAAGCAGCCCAATATGCAGTTACCTGGTGTGATTTCATTATTAATTTGTTTAGCTTTAATACGTGTTTCATGTTATCCATGAGCACGCTGAAAAGGAATAAAAAAATGATTTTAACCCTGATTAAAAATAATTAATAAATACCATTAATGAACAAAATCAATTGCTATGTATTTCCTTTCATGGAATTTACTTATCCTTCAATAGAAAGTCACAGACAATTAAAAAAAAATGTGAAATTTAAGCATGTAGGAACATTTCTAAAAATCTCCTATTTTGGAGAAAAAGCCCTAATAACATGCTAATGAGTTGCTTTTTTAAAAAACAGACTTTAGGGGCGCCTGGGTGGCTCAGTGGGTTAAGCCTCTGCCTTCAGCTTGGGTCATGATCTCAGGGTCCTGGGATCAAGCCCTGTGTTGGGCTCTCTGCTCGGCGGGGAGCCTGCCTCCCTCTCTCTCTCTGTCTGCCTCTCTGCCTACTTGTGATCTCTATCAAATAAATAAATAAAATCTTTTAAAAAAATTTTTAAAAAATGAAAAACAGACTTTATTTTTTAGAGCAGTTTTAGGTTCATAGCAAAACTGAAATGCAAACCCATATACCTCTGTCCCCCACCACACACAGCATCCTCAACTATCAACATCCCCTACCAGAAAGGTCCACTCATCACAAATGATGAATCTACATTAACATATTGTTATCATCCAAAGCCCATTAAGGTTCATTCCTTTATTTTTTTTAAGATTTTATTTATTTATTTGACAGACAGAGATCACAGGTAGGCAGAGAGGCAGGCCGAGAGAGAGGAGGAAGCAGACTCCCCGCTGAGCAGGGAGCCCGATGCGGGGCTTGATTCTGGGACCCTGAGATCATGACCCGAGCTGAAGGCAGAGGCTTAACCCACTGAGGCACCCAGGCGCCTCATAGGGTTCACTCTTGATGGTGTACATTCTTTGGGTCTGACAAATGTATAAAGATATGTATTCACTATTACAGATAGCATCATATAGAATAGTTTCAACGAATATTCAAGATGCTTCTTACCCTCATGTCTTCAACAAATATTTCTGAGTACTACTACATCCTAAGACCTGTGTAGACACCAGGAATATAAAGCAAAGTAAAACACCAAGAGGAAAGAATCTGCTGAAAGAGAAAAATGAAACCACAACTAAAGTATGGTTTCATCACAACCAGTAATGAAAGAGTTGTGCACAGAGTAGCACAAGGGAAATTCTTGAATCTTTAAGAACATGAAGTAATTACCTAGATTACCTATCTTGACATAGCTGGAGCCAAACAGTATAAAGTAAGACTGGGTAAGAATAATGGTTCTTATATTTCTAAAGTTCCACTACCCTTTGGGAGGATGTTTAATGCAGACCACCACATTACCCCCATCATGCCCATCTGGACTCAGAGATTGAGTCAACAGGTTTGGAATGGGACGAGCAATGTGATCACTGTGTACTAATTATTCTGATATCCGCCAGGCATGAGAAACACTTCATGCAGCAGGATTTTGTTGAGGAGGCTGAAAATGTGAATCTTTGCAAGACCTGGGAACACTAAACTCATTTTCTACTAGTTATAGCTATACTGGTTTGTAAACTTAAAACTTGCTAAAGAAACTACCTCAGCCTGTTTGGCCTTTCTGTACTTTCTGGGGGTCAATTTCTCCTGTACCTCTTTAATTCAAGAATGTTTAAAGCTCAGGACACCTGGGTGGCTTAGTCAGTTAAGGGTCAGGTCATGATTCCAGGGTCCTGGGATCGAGTCCCACATCGGGCTCCCTGCTTAGTGGGGAGCCTGCTTCTCCCTCTACCTGCAGCTCTCTATGCTTGTCCTCTCTTTCTCAAATAAAATCTTGAAAGAAAAAAAAAAGGAATCTTTTTAAAGCTCACCTTTTATGGAAGAGCAATCGTTAGAGGGCCCAAATTCATATTTTAGGATTTATCTAATCCTGGAGTTAAATGGAATATGGGGAGAATACATTATCAGTCTGAACTAAGACACCCAGAAAAAGGAAGTATCCAGATGCATCTTAACACTTTTCCGGTGATATGGTAGGAGATCTTTTTTTTTTTTTTTTTAAGATTTTATTCATTTATTTGACAGAAAGAGAGCACAAGAAGGGGGAGTAGCAGAGGGAGAGGGAGAAGCAGTCTCCCAATCAGGAGGGAGCCCGATGTAGGGCTCGATCCCAGGACCCCGGGATTACGACCAGAGCCAAAGGCAGATGCTCAACTGACTGAGCCACCTAGGCACTCCAGGAGATCTTTTATCACAAGATTTTTTAGAGCTTTGAGATATAAAAGCATAGGTAAGGCCCCTGAGGCCAGACACAAAGGACCATATTATATAGAACCTTGACTGCCAGAGTTTTAACTTTATATTTCTTGCCAAATAGTTTACATATACAAGCTCATTTCTGCCACTGAAAAATGACGCATATACTTCCTGTCTCGATAACCCAATTCCTGGTTATTGGGTAAGTGAGGCAGCTCTATCTCTGTTTTATAGTAAATACTGAACAAAAGTAAACTTTCAAAATCTTCCTTCAAACTCATCAGACTGTCTGGCTAAAAATCTCCGTTGCTTCTTAGTGTTGCAATCCAACCAAATGTCAGTAGGACTCTAAAAATTATAATGCTGCAGAGGCCAAAAATGCCATCACTTTTCTTATTCCCCAGATAAAGATGGATGACACTGACAGTTAATTTTAAAAAATTCAGAAAACTAAAGTCATTATGCAGATATCCCTTCTTATTCTTAGCCCTAACAAATTCAGAAAAAAAGGAAAAAGAAAAAAACAAACATACCTAGTCCTGGGGTTATTTTTCTCCAGGTTTTTTTTAAGTGCAGTCGAAAGTTGCATCCTACAATGCAAGGGAAAAAAGCTGGCATTATAAAACATGGATAATATTTGTGTACATTGAAAAGAAAAAATGTATATATACAACTTAAAGATTGATTTTTTTAAAAAGATTTTATTTATTTGAGAGTGAGAAAAAGCATGAGAAGGGGGAGGGTCAGAGAGAGAGAAGCTGACTCCCTACTGAGCAGGCCTGATGTGGGACTTGATCCCAGGATTCAATCCCGGGAATCCAGGACGATGACCTGAGCTGAAGGCAGTCGCTTAACCAACTGAGCCACCCAGGCACCCCTGATTTTTCTTTAAATGTAACCTAAACTATAAGTAGGTTTATAAACACTATTGTATGGGAAATACTTTGATAAATAAATCACAGAAATGGAAAATAACAAGATGGAAAGGGCTGCTGTCTGTGGTTGTGTGCTGCCAGGCTGCGGGACCAATAAGACTTGAAATCAACCTGAGCTTTGATCTCCAAGCCATCCACTTTGGTGCAGGGCCAGAAGGAACCATTAAGGCACTACAGAGACCAGGTTAGGCCTAACATGGAGTTAGGGAATACAAAGCCATACCTGAACGTAAACTTTAAAATATGCATTCATACAAACAAAAACAAACTGCATAAATTACTTTTATATCCAAATAGCTAATAAGTAATAATGAAAAGGCAATCAACTTAACAATATTAATTTCTTCCCTTCTGCCACACACAAAAAAATTCAATTCATTAAAATAAGATCTCTTAATAGCTCTGAAGTCATCTTTAAAAAAAAAAAATGATCTATGGGGCACCTGGGTGGCTCAGTGGGTTAAGCCTCTGCCTTCGGCTCAGGTCATGATCTCAGGGTCCTGGGATCGAGCCCCAAATCGGATTCTCTGCTTGGCAGGGAGCCTGCTTCCCCGCCCCCCCCCCGCCTGCCTCTCTGCCTACTTGTGATCTCTCTCTCTGTCAAATAGATAGATAAAATCTTTAAACAAACAAAAAAATGATCTAGGGCACCTAGCTGTTTCAGTCCAGAGAGCATGCAACACTTGATCTCAGGATCATGAGTTCAAGCCCCAAGTAGGGCAAAGAGTTACTTAAAATGAATTAATAAAAAAATACATATAATCTATATAATGAGCCAGCTTATGAGAATACAGAAACATGTTCACTGCTAGAAGCAATAAAGAGGACTTTAACTACTTTTCAATTAAATGTGTAAGAAATTCATCTGAGAAGCCCAGAAACACAGGAAGTAATTTTAAAAGTCATCCACTTAATGGAGATCATTAATTCAGATCACAGGTCTGTAAGAGATCATGTTTCTCTTATTAACAGCTGCATACTAACACCTACCACAAAGCTTAAGACATAGTAAGCATTCAAATATTTGTTCAATGGATTTTAAAATACAGATGCAAAACCTATATCAAAAATGTATTTAGGGGACCGGACTGGCTCAATCAGTAAAGCATGAGACTCCTGATCTTGGGGCTGAGTTTGAGCCCCACATTGGTGTTTTACTTAAAAATAAAATCTTAGGGGCACCTGGGTGGCTCAGTTGGTTAAGCCACTGACTTCGGCTCAGGTCGTAATCCCGGAGTCCTGGGATGAAGCCCTGCATCAGGCTCCCAGCTCTGCGGGGAGTCTGCTCCTCCCTCTGACCTTCTCCCCTCTCATGCTCTCTCTCTCTCTCAAATAAATAAATAACATCTTTAAAAAATAAAATAAAATAAAATCTTAAATATGTGTGTGTGTGTATCTTTAAACTTGATAACAATTCTTTTACTTGATTAATAGTTACTGTAGTAACTGAATCCATGTAATCCTTTGAAACACTGGATGGGATTTAAGTTCACCCTTCAACTTCCTTGACTGACATTTTATTAAGTCAATCTCATGTAACTACTTCAAATGAAGGTATCAATGAATGATGTAACTTTTCTCTCAGGGCTTAAAATTTGTGTAACTATTATCTAATGATCATTATCACTTGATTAATCTCATTTAGACTAATTAAAAGATTCCCTCCACCTCAAGTCATACCTGTTTTGCACTGACTTCTCAATGCTTATACCTAGACTGTAATAATTACCTGTCTAATGCAAGCTTTTTCATTTCAAAAGCAATTTTCACCTCTTCAATTTCATTTTCCAGGTCTTCAATTTTACTGTCAAAGAAGCATGAACAAAAAAATTTCAGCAATATCAAAAAAAGTCATTGAATATTGAAAAATATATAAAGTAAACCTTTGAAAAAAGAAGTAAACCTTTGAAAAAAGTAAAATGACCCTATTTAGATAAAATTATTCTGCAGGTTCCCCCACACTGATGCATTTCTAGATTTGGTAAAGAGATGCCTCCGAGGTACTCAACTAATTATCTTGTGAAGGGGAATGCCAAAAGTGCTACTGTGGTCACTGATGTACATATTAGGTCTATCTCCCATATCAACAACTTCTCAGTACAAGCATGAAAAATTACTTGGAAAATAAAGAAAAGGAAAAAGGAAAATAATGGTGTAAGAAGGGTGATAATACCAAATCTTAGTAAAAAACACAAAATTCAAAGATATGACATACGCTTCAATTTGCTTATCTTGCAAGATTTGTTCTGGAGTCTTTTCTTCAGCTACAAATAAAAAATTTTTTGAAGTTAGTAATAGTTTAGAAGAGTGTGGTCCAACAGAAATATAATATAAGCCATAAATGCAAACCAAATATTTAATTTTTAACCTTTAGTTTCTATACTATTATAAAGCAAGTGAAAATATTTCAGTGTGACTTATTTTAACTCGATAGCTCTAAAATATTTTTACATGTAATTAATCTTAAATTACTAATGAAGAGGCACCTGGGTGGCTCGGTTGGTTAAGCAACTGCCTTCGGCTCAGGTTACAATCCTGGAGTCCCAGGATAAAGTCCCGCATCAGGCTCCCTGCTCAGCAGAATCTACTTCTCCCTTTGACCTCCCACCTCTCATGCTCTCTCTCTTATTCTCTCTCTCAAATAAATAAATAAAATTTTTTCAAAAAAATAAATGAAAGAAAATTACTAATGAAATATTTTATAATCTTCTGTATTTTGCATTTATTGGCCCTCTCAAGGACTAATCACATTTTAAGTGTTCAATTGTCACATGGAGATAGTGGCTACCATATTGGACAGAGCAGTTTGAGAATAATGTAAAATAAAAAAGGAGTAAAATAGTACCATGAGCAATGTCAGAAAGATCAACTGTAAGTCTTTATGTTAGGAAAAAACAATCAGGGGTGCATGGGTAGCTCAGTCCATTAAGAGTCTGCCTTTGGCTCAAGTCATGATCCCAGGGTCCTGGAACTGATTCCTGCATAGGGCTCCCTGCTCAGTGGGGATTCTGCTTCTCCCAGTGCCCCCTCCCTTCACCCACTCACACTCTCACTCACAAAAATAAATAAATCTGAAAAAAAAAATTGGAAATTAATACTTAAGGATAAATTTAACAAGATATGCATACGACGTCTACACCGAATATGTTCAAATACTGAAAAAAAATATATCATGTATAGGTATTAGAAGAATCAATATGGCTAATAAAACAATCTATCCCAGGGCGCCTGGGTGGCTCAGTGGGTTAAAGCCTCTGCCTTTGGCTCAGGTCATGATCCCAGGGTCCTGGGATTGAGCCCCACATGGGGCTCTCTGCTCAGCAGGGAGACTGCTTCCTCCTCTCTCTCTCTCTCTGCCTGCCTTTCTGCCTACTTGCGATCTCTGTCTGTCAAACTGTCAAATAAACAAGTAAAATCTTAAAAAAAAAACCCAAAAAACAATCTACCCAATATTGTTCTATAGATCACGATCAAATCCCAATCAAAATTCTCACTTTATTTTCTGTAGAAACTGACAGGCTGATTTTGTTTTTTTTATTTATTTATTTTTAAATATTTTATTTATTCATTTGACAGACAGAGATCACAAGTAGGCAGAGCAACAGGCAGAGAGAGAGGGGGGAAGCAGGTTCCCCGTTGAGCAGGGGCTCGATCCCAGGACCCTGAAATCATGACCTGAGCTGAAGGCAGAGGCTTAACCCACTGAGCCACACAGGCACCCTGACAGGCTGATTTTAAAATGCATATAAAAACACAAAGGACTTAGAACAGTCAAAACTATTTTGATAAAGAAGAACAAAACTGGAACACTTATAGGAGTTGATATCAAGATTTACTATAAACCTACAGTAATCAAGACAGTGTGGCACTATTATAAGTACAGACAAATACCTCACGGGAACAGAGCAAGAAGCCCAGGAATAGACCCACACATATATAATGGAGAAAGGAAAGTCTTTTGAACACATAGTACTAGAAAAATTAGATTTCCATAGGGGAAAAAATGAATTCATATACACAAAAATTAACTCAAAAAGGATCACAGAACTGAATGTTAAACATAAAACCCTAAACCTTATAGAACAAAACAAAGGAGAAAATCTTTGTGACCTTGGAGTGGTCACAGACTTCTTAGAGAGAACTTAAAATCATATGCCACAAAAGAAAAAAAAAAACTGATAAAAATCACTTCATCAAATTGGTGCCTTCGGTTCCTCAAAAGATAGTTAAAAAACAAAGGCAAGTTGGGCACGTAGCTGGCTCAGTCAGTAGAGCTTGTAACTCTTGGGTCTCAGGGTGGTAACTTTGAGACCCATGTTGGATGTAGAGATTACTTAAAAATAAAACAATCTTAAAAAAAAAAAAAAGGCAAGGGCATCTGGGTGGCTCAGTGGGTTAAAGCCTCTGCCTTCGGCTCAGGTCATGATCCCAGGGTCCTGGGATTGAGCCCCACATTGGGCTCTCTGCTCAGCAGGGAGCCTGCTTCCCTTCCTTCTCTCTCTGCCTGCCTCTCTGCCTGCTTATGATCTCTGTCTGTCAAATAAATAAATAAATAAAAATCTTAAAAAAAAAATGGCAAGAAACAAACTGGGAGAAAATACCTGCTAAATATATAAGTAAATACATAGATACCTATATCTCTATAGATAAATAGATACCTACATCTATAAATATACACCTTATCTATATATATATAGATATCTGAAAAAAATACCTACATTTATAAACAAAGAACACAAATTCAATAAGATTAACAATCCAACTAAAAAATAGGCAAAGATTTTAACACTTCATTAAAGTAGATTTACAGATCTACTTCATAAATGGAAATATATTAATTGCCAATAGCCACATGAAAAGATATTCAATATCATTAGTTATCAGGGAAATGTAAACTAAAGCCACTTGAGATAACACTACATACTCATTAGAATGGCTAAAATTTAATAAGACCAACTATCAAATTTTAAAAAGGATGCTAAATAAATGGAAATCTCTTGCTTCTAGGAAGAACGTACCTTAATGGTATAATCATTTTACTGATCTTTTTTAAAAGCATATTTATTTATTTATTTGAGAGAGTAAGAAAGAGTGAACAAACTGGAGGGAGAACCAGAGGGAAAGGGAGAAGCAGACCCCCTGCTGAGCAGGGAGCCCAATGTGGGACTCAATCCCAGGACTTCAAGATCATGACCTGAGCCCAAGGCAGATGCTCAACCGACTGAGCCACCCAGGTGCCCCCATACTGATAGTTTTTGATGGAAGCATTATTGATATAATGTAAGGTCATGACTTTGGAGGCAAGAAGACCTGCTTCATATCCCAGTTTCATAAATTACTAGTTTTACTAAGCAGAAAAGAGGCCAGGGGGCTCATTTCATAGTCCTATTTTTTGTTGTTCTTGTTTTGCATAAAAAGACTTTAGAAAACCTGAAGTATCAGATGGACAACACACTAGAACTGCCTTTGGATCTATGGCCTTATAACAGAATGTGAGCAGTCTGAAAAGTTCCTAAGTTAAATATGTATTCAGGTGAAGTGACTGAAGTCATCTATGTGGCCCCTTCAGGTTTTCCATAATTCTTGATTCAACCTAAAGTTTTGGTTTTATTCTTTAAGCCTATTTCACAGAGATAGAAAGACTCACCAAAACCTATCTTTGTAATTCAAAAGCTAACAAATTAGGTTGCAATAATGGCCATTACTTTAGGAGAGCTAAACCATTATTTTAGTACTCTCTTGCTCCTTAAGCCTTCTAGATCTTAAAAGATAAATTTACATCTCTTCAGGGGTGACTGGGTGGTTCATCCTGTTAAGCATCTGCCTTAGGCTCAGGTTATGATCCCAGGGTCCTGCATTGAGCCCTGCATCTGAGCTCAGCAGGGAATCTGCTTATCCCTTTCCTTCTGCCCCTCCCCCTATCCTTCCCCTTGCTTGTGCTTTCTGCCTCTCTCAAATACATAAAATCTTTTTTTTTTTTTTAAGATTATTTATTTATTGGGATGCCTGGGTGGCTCAGTTGGTTAAGTCACTGCCTTTGGCTCAGGTCATGATCTGGAGTCCCGGGATCGAGTCCCACATCAGGTTCCCAGTTCCACAGGGAGTCTGCTTCTCCCTCTGACCTTCTCCCCTCTCATGCTCTCTCTCGTCTCTCTCAAATAAATAAATAAAATCTTTTAAAAAAGAAAAGATTATTTATTTATTTATTTGGGGGGTGGGGTGGGCTTGGGGGGACTGAAAGAAAGCATGAGCCAGGGGAGAGGCAAAGGGAGAAAGAGAAGCAGACTGCCCACTGAGCAAGGAGCCCCACTCAGGGCTCAGTCCCAGGACCCTGGGATCATGACCCAAGCTGAAAGCAGACGTTTAACCGACTGTGCAAACCATGCACCTCAAATCTTTTTTTTTAAAAGACTTTATTTGAGAGAGAGAGACAGACAGACAGAGATAGTGAGAGAGAGCATGAGTGGGGAAGAGAGGGAGAAGCAGACCCCCACTGATCAGGGAGCCTCACAAGGGGCTCAATCCCAGGACCCTGAGATTATGACACGAGCCAAAGGCAGAACCGACTGAATAAGCCTGGTGACCCTCAAAGAAATAAAATCTTTAAAAAAATATATTCATTTTTTCAGTGTTTAAAATGGAAATTATCATTCATTTCTTTAAGATGATCTCCCTTCTGCCCCTCATTCCTATCTTAAAGTATTTCTCAACGTATAGATCTTGGATCACTTAACAATCATCTGATCCACCAATTTAATCTCTAAGCTATTCATGATCAAGTCCTATGATTCCTTCCCACAGAAATTTCCCAATTCTCTGATCAAAAGAACTAAACTGTCTTGCACTACTATTTAGGGTTTTTTCATCTATTTCCTGAATTCCTAACAAGTTCCTGAGGCACAGGGCAATCGTGGTTTTTGACTTTTTTATATAGTATTGTACCACATTATGCTGACACTCCCATTCCCTAAATAAATAACTTTTTGTAAAATTGATTTTCTTAGAATGCTGTTCCTCACCAAGCTCACAAAATCTTATCTGAAAATGAAAATACTTACTTGCATCAACCATTGATTTATATTCCAAGAGTTGTTGTTTTGTCTGTGCTCGCAGCCTGAAAGCATAAAGAAAACAGAAAGTCTCTCTCTCTCTCTCTCTCTCTCACACACACACACACACACACACATATACTTTTTAAAAAGTTAAGTAAACTCTACTCCTAACATGGGGCTCAAAGTCAAAACCCCAAGATCAAGAGTTGCATGCTCTACTGACTGAGCCAGCTAGGTGCCCCAGAAAGTCATATATTTATAGAGGATTTACTCACTACTATATTATAAACCAACTCACCTTTTTCAGAAGTTTATGCAATAAAATGAGTGTAAGTACTCAGCAATGTGTCTTCTAGTTTGGCCTGATTTATTTACAGCGGGTATAAAGAGAATTCCAGTTGAAGATGGGGTTGAAGGAAAAACTTTGTCCTCCTCCACAGGACACACCAAATTACATCTATTAATTGAACAATTCCTCCTGAAAAACTAAGGGCTGACTGCACAGCTACTGAATAACCAAAGATAAAGAGAACAAAAAGAAAAAGAAGAGAGATGGAAACGTGCCACAGTTTAAAAGAGTATCTAGCATATACAGCTACAGCTACAGCCAGCCAGCTAAAGTCACCAACCATACACAGTCTGCAGAAGGGACACCATACACAAGATTATGTTTAGGAGAAATAGCTGTTTACCTTTCTATAGAAACAAACACAAAAACTCAAGCAAAATGGGGAGACAGAGGAATATGCTCCAAAAGAAAGAACAAGAAAAATAAACTCAGAAAAAGAACTAAATGAAACAGAACTAAACAGTAATCCTAAAAAGAATTTAAAGTAATGGTTGTAAAGACACTCAGTTGGCTGGAGAAAAGAACGGAAGAACTCAGTGAGATCTTCAATAAATATAGCATGGAGTCAGCTTGAGAATCTCTCTCACTCTCCCTTTGCCTCTACCCCTCTCGCTCATGCTTTCTCTATTTCTCAAATAAATAAATAAATCTTAAAAACAAAACAAAACAAAACAAAACAAAAAAAACCTACCAAAACCTCCAGGACTAGATGGACTCACAGATGAATTCCACCAGACATTCAAAGAAGAGTTAACACCTGTTCTCAAAGTATTCCCAAAAAAAACAGAAGATAAAGGAAAATTTCCAAATACATTCTACGAGGCCAGCATTACCCAGATACCAAAACCAGACAAAGACACAACAAAAAAAGAAAATTACAGGGGGGCCTGGGTGGCTCAGTGGGTTAAAGCCTCTGCCTTTGGCTCAGGTTGTGATCTCAGGGTCCTGGAATCAAGCCCCGCATCGGGCTCTCTGCTCAGCGGGGAACCTGCTTCCTCCTTTCTCTCCCTCTGCCTGCCTCTCTGCCTACTTGTGATCTTTGTCAAATAAATAAATTTTAAAAATCTGAAAAAAAAAAAAAAAGAAAGAAAGAAAATTATAGGCCAATATACCCCTGGTGATCATAGATGCAAAAATCCTCAACAAAATATTAGTGAACCACATACAACAACACATTGAAAAAAATCATTCACCATAATCACAGGATTTAATCTGGGATACAAGGGTAGTACAATATTTGTGAGTCAATTGGACTCTCCGCTCAGTGTGGGGCCTGACACAAGGCTCGATCTCATGAGCCTGAGATCATGACCTGAGCCCAAACCAAGAGATGGATGCTTAATCAACTGAGTCACCCAGGCATTCCCACCCTCACCATTTTTATTCAACATAGTACTGAAAGTCCTCTCCAAAGCAGCCAGACAAGAAAAAGAAATAAGAGGCATCCATATTGGTAGGGAAGTCAAACTGTCACTATTTGCAGACATCATGAGACTATACTCATAAAATCCTGAAGACTCAACCAAAAAATGTATTAGAATAAATGAATTCAGTAAAGTGGCAGTACACAAATTTAAAACACAGATATCAGCAACATTTCTCCATACTAATAACAAAGTCATAGAAAGAGAAATTTTAAAAACACCACCATTTACTATTGCACCAAAAAGAATAAAATACCTAAAAATCAACTTGACCAAAGAGGTGAAAGACCTGTACCCTGAAAACCATAAAACACTGATGAAAGAAATTGAAGATGACAAAACCATAAAACACTGAAGAAAGAAATTGAAGATGACAAAAACAAAAGGAAAGATATTCCATGTCATGTGTTAAAAGTATATTGCAAAAATGTCCATATTACCCAAAGCAATTTATGGTTTCAAAGCAATGCCTACCAAAATGCCAACAGCATTTTTTCACTAAACTACAACAATCAATACTACTATTTGTATGGTGGTGGTGGTGGGGGGGTGTTCCTGGGTGGCTCAGTTAGTTAAGCATCTGCCTTCTCCTCAGGTCAGGATCCCAAAGTCCTAGGATTGAATCCTGCATCAGGCTCCCTGCTCAGCAGGGAGTCTGCTTCTCCTTTTTGGCTTGTACTCTCTCAACGCTCACAGTCTCTCTCAAATAAATACATAAAATTTTAAAATAAAATAAAATAAAATTTTATGGAACCACAGAAGATCCCAAAATAGCCAAAGCAATCCTATAGAACCAAGAATGAACCTGAACTATCACTATTCCATATTTCAAGATATACTATAAAGCTGTAGAGATCAAAACAGTATGGTACTGGAACAAAAACAGACAAATGGATTATGGAACAGAATAGAGACCCTAGAAATAAACCCACATTTATATGGTCAATTAATCTATGATAAAGGAAGCAAGAATATACAATGAGGAAAAGACAGTCTTTTCAATAAATGGTGCTGGGAAAAATGAACACCCACTTGCAGAAGAATGAAATTGGACTACATTCTAACACCATACATAAAACTAAACTCAAAATGGATTAAAGAATTAAACAAGAGACCTGAAACCATAAAAATCTTACTAGAAAAATAGGGAGTAATTTCTGACATTGGCAATAGCAAAATTTTTCTAGATATGTCTCCTGAGGCAAGGAAAACAAAAGCAAAAATAAACTCTTGGGACTACATCAAACTAAGAAATTTTTGCCTAGCAAATGAAAAGACAATCTATTGAATGGGAGAAGATATCTGCAAATCATTTATTTTATAAAGGATTAATATCAAAAATATAGAAAGAACTTAAACAACTCAACACCAAAAAAAACACACAAAAGAACAGTCTGTTTAAGAAATGGGCAGATGGGGACGCCTGGGCGGCTCAGTTGGTTGGACAACTGCCTTCGGCTCAGGTCATGATCCCGGAGTTCCGGGATCAAGTCCCACATCGGGCTCCCAGCTCCATGGGGAGTCTGCTTCTCTCTCTGACCTTCTCCTCGCTCATGCTCTCTCTCACTGTCTCTCTCTCAAATAAATAAATAAAATCTTAAAAAAAAAAAAAAAAAAAAGAAATGGGCAGATGGCCTGGAGATATTTTTCCAAAGACATACAGTCTGTTTAAGAAATGGGCAGATGGGGTGCCTGGTGGCTCAGTGGGTTAAAGCCTCTGCCTTTGGCTCAGGTCGTGATCCCAGGGTCCTGGGATCGAGCCCCGTGTCGGGCTCTCTGCTCAGCGGAGAGCCTGCTTCTCTCTCTCTCTCTCTCTGCCTGCCTCTCTGCCTACTTGTGATCTCTGTCTGTCAAATAAATAAATAAAATCTTAAAAAAAAAAAAAAAAGAAAGAAATGGGCAGATGACCTGAAAAGACATTTTTCCAAAGATATACAGATGACCAATAGACACATGAAAAGATGCAGCTCAATCTGACTAATGATCAGGGAAATGCAAATAAAAACCACAATGAGCTATCACTCACATCTGTCAGAATGGCTAAAATAAAAAAGACAAAAAACAACAAGAGTTGGCCAGGATGTGGAGAAAAAGTGAACCCTCCTACACTGTTGGTAGAAATGTAAATTAGTACAGTCACTGTGGAAAACAGTATGGATCCCTGGGTCCTGGGATCCTGACCTGTGCTAAAGGTAGATCCTTAACTGACTGAAGCCACCAGGCACCCCTAAACTTTTCAAATCATCAAGTTATACACCGAAACTAATGTAACATTGTGTCAACTATGCTCAAATCTTACTGGGCGCAGGGCCTGGCTGGCTCAGTTCAGGCTATGAGTTGGAGCCTCACATTGGTGTGCCAATTGCTTAAAAATAAAATCCCTTATTAAAAAAAAAAAAAAAAGGCCTCAGAGAAAGATGCAAAATGGACTCTGGTGGGGATATAGCAACTATGAGGAAAAGTTAAATTTCTAATTTTAAAATTTATTAATATGTCACGCTCAAGAAATATGGGCTACACAAAGAAGAAACACATCAAAATGGTGAAAATTGCAAACATTATAACAAATTTAAAAACAGTTTGTAACACTCCTAGGAGATACAGAAAAGTAACAAAAGTAACAAATATATTAACTCTTAAATAGATAATTCATAGTTTCTTAGTTGTCCTAAGCTTGTACTTAATTAAAAATCATACATAAAATAAGTAGAAAAGCTATGGGTAAAATCCTAACTAGTTATTACATTATACTTAGAAGATGTTGGACATTTACATGGTAGTTTCATAATTCTTTTTTTTTTTTTTTTTTTTTTTTATTTGACAGAGAGAGAGAGAGAGCGAGAGCACAAGTAGGCAGAGAGGCAGGCAGAGAGAGGGGGAAGCAGGCTCACTGCCGAGCAGAGAACCCGATGCGGGGCTCGATCCCAGGACCCTGAGATCATGACCTGAGCCGAAGGCAGAGGCTTAACCCACTGAGCCACCCAGGTGCCCCGGTAGTTTCATAATTCTGAAACTGCTCTATAATTTTGAGATCTATATGATTTTGAGACCTGTATGAGTAGCTAAGTGACATTACAAAGATTTTTAAACCTCTATGGTTTAAGTTCCTTATGTTTGAAATTCCAAATGGAAAGAATTTCTTACAGGTTAAGAAGTTAGGCTAGCATTTTAAAACACACTGTAAGAACAGTTTCCTTTTTAGCTAATATGAAAAAGGTGATCCTATATCTTTAATATTTTAGAATTTTATGTTGTAGGCAGGAGGGAATTTTTATTTTTTAAAGATTTTATTTATTTATTTGACAGAGATCACAAGTGGGAGGGTGGAGAGGGAGCAGGCTCCCCGCTGAGCAGAGAGCCCCAGGGGCTCAACCGAGGACCTGGGATCAGGACCTGAGCCAAAGGCAGAGGCTTTAACCCACTGAGCCACCCAGGGGCCCCAGGAGGGAATTTTTTAAACTGAGACTGTGAGGCTTACTAGCCAAGACCTTTCAAAGCAGTAGTAAAGCTAAAATACAGTTACAATTCTTTGGGGAGGGAGGAAAAAATCCCCTTATTATGACTTAGAATATTTTGTTGTTGTTGTTTTCCCTGTAAAGGACCAAACAAATATTTCAGGCTTTGTGATTCACACGGTCTCTACTTTAGCTATTCAACTCAGACCCTGTAGCAGGAAAGTTGTGTTACAAAAAACCTTTCCTTAAGGGCACCAAAATTTGAATTTTATATAATTTCACGTGTTATTAAATATTCTTTCAGGAATTTTTTTTGACCCAACCACTTAAAGACATAAAAACTATCCTTCGCTTGAGGGGCCACAATAAAATTCACACCCCACTGAGTGAAAAAGAATAAACATCACGCTCCTGGTAGGAAATAAAACAAATGATGCTTCTGAATTGAAAACGGTCATAACTGGGACGCCTGGGTGGCTCAGTTGGTTAAGCCGCTGCCTTTGGCTCAGGTCATGATCCCCAGTTGGTTAAGCCGCTGCCTTTGGCTCAGGTCATGATCCCAGGGTCCTCGGATGGAGTCTCACATCCGGCTCCTTGCTCAGCGGGGAGCCTGCTTCTCTCTCTGCCTCTGCCTGCCGCTCTGCCTACTTGTGTTCTCTCTCTCTCTCTGACAAATAAATAAATAAAATCTAAAAAAGAAAGAAAAGGGTCATAACCGTAAAACAAAGAGACAGGACATTTTTTATGTAGCTAAAAATGCCTTAGAGACACTTCACAACCCGACTGCATATCGGGGCTTGAGTGCAGGAGAAAAGGATGGGAAATTACAGCTCCGTAGGGCTCAGGACACTATGCTAAACGCTTGCCTCTGAGTGTCACATTTAACCCCCACCGCAATTTCACTAAGGTGTAACCCTCCCCTTTTTCGAAGATGACGCAGGAGGCTTAAGAAGCTCAGCTGAATGACGTAGTGACGCAGGCAATAAGCGATCAACTCAGAATTCAAAGCCTTCGGGACCCTGAGAACAAAGGGCGGGGCTCTCGGCCACGAAGCCAGCTTGGATCCCGGCTAGAGGGGACAACAACCTGAGCAGCAGGGTCAAGCGGTCCTCGGGACGCGCCGCCTGGGCGCCGGCGACCTGTGGTGGCTCGCCTTCCCCGCCTCCCGCTCCGGAGTCCGGGGGCTCCGTGGCCGCTTGCTTTCCCGGCTGCTTCTCCATTCTGACTCGCGCGAAGAGGAAACACCTGGGACAGAAGGATGCAGCCTCAGGAGCAGGTTTTCCCGCCACTTAACTGACTCCCGGAAAGGGCGGGAGAACCCTCGCACTCCGTCCCGCCCCTTCCGCCCTAAGGCTCCACCGCTTCCGTCCCGTTCTCCGGCTGCTGTGGCTGCTTCTGTCCCTTTCCCAGATGACTAGTATTAGACCGCTAATAAGAAAACAGAAGCATCAGTTCTGGCTAGCCCGAGCTGGGCTAGGAGTTGGCTACAGCCATTTGGGACACATCCTGCCTCCCAGGAACAGCCTGGAAAGGAAAACCGCAACACATTGAGTCATTTATCCTTGGCGCAGGGTCAGGGGATCTTCGGGACAGCGGTTTTTGGACCCATCTTGGCACTCCCTTAACCTTCGCAGCCTTGGAAAATGGATGTGCCTGGCAGGCTAAGAAAGGGAAGCAATAGAAATGTAGACCTGACGTTATATAAGACCAATAGACTGGACAATTAATGTCCATGCCTTGAAAAACAAAAAGCAGGACAATTACCGTATAGGGAAACATTAATTTTTATTGGAACCTGGATTGGAAAAAAGTTTGTAAAACATCTTCGAAACAATTGATGAAATTTGAATATGCACTGCACATTACATATGTTGTTAATTATCTTAATGTGATAAAGATCATGGTTATTTAGGAAAATGAATTCTTAGGAGATGCGTGATGAAATATTTTAAGGTGACATTGTCTTGAAATTTAAAGTTTACTTTGAAATGGCTCTGAAAAAGAAAAATATATTCACACGCGTGTATATGTTCCTGACACACATACTTTTTTCCTTTACACCTATAATTTAGTACTTACCTACAGAAGTACCTAGAACTATGTCACCTAACAGGAAAAAAATCCTTTTTTATATCCTTGCTTATTTATAGAAGTCATTCAAATATTTATATACAGAGAAAATATTGTTTCAAAAAGGCTTTTTAAAGACCCTATTTCCAACAAAATTAAAAAATCACCAATATGAAGATGTTTGACAAAAACTTCAAAAAGGAACCTAGTACTTAGAAAATAAGCAGTTAAATAATCTCCATATCAAGGACCACAAAAAAATTATAACGACCAGAAATAGATAAAAAGGAGGTCTTCAGAAACAAGCTATCAAAGAAAATGTATGAATGATTTTATCAACAAAATACATTGAGCATTTAACTTAAACTAGAAAATAAAAAGATGGTGAGCTAAAACTATAAAATAAAGGTGGTAGGAATGTAATACCAAAACTGATTCTTTCAAAATACAAAAAAACAAAAACAAAAAAACCCTCCACACAAGCCTGGGTAGAAAAGTATTCAATATCAGGAATGAGAGACAAGATATAACTACACAGCTATGACTTTAAAAATCTAGATGAGAGGGGCGCCTGGGTGGCTCAGTGGGTTAAAGCCTCTGCCTTTGGCTCAGGTCATGATCCCAGGGTCCTGGGATCGAGCCCCATATCAGGCTCTCTGCTTGGCAGGGAGCCTGCTTCCTCCTCTCTCTCTCTCTGCCTGCCTCTCTGCCTACTTGTGATCTCTATCTGTCAAATAAATAAATAAAATCTTTAAAAAAAAAATCTAGATGAGATTATTTCCTATTAATAGAGGGGGGATAATTCCTAAAAAACACCAAACGACAATGAAAACATACCAATTTAAGCAGATCCAGGCCAAATGATTGTAAAGTTTAATTAAAATGTTTAAAAGATTTTATTTATTTAAGAGAGTGAGACAGATCACAAGCTGGGGAAGGGTTAGAGGGAGAAGCAGGCTCTCTACTGAGCAGGGACCCTGATGCAGAACTCAATCACAGGACCCTGGGATCATGACCTGAGCCGAAGGCAGACACTTGACCTACCGAGCCACCACGGTACCCCTAATTAAGCTAGTTTCAAATGAATTAATAAGGTTTTCAAAGTATGTGATATAAAAATGGAAACCTCTGTAATCCACCCAAAAGCTAGTAAAATACAAGAAAAACTAGAAAACCATACCAACAACAAAAACTGGGTCAGTTTCCCAAGTAAGGTGCAAAATTTTCTAGAAGAAACACATTAAATCTATGTACCATGAGCAAGAATTCATTTGATTTGAATAAACCTCTAATGTGGAATATTATACTACATTAATAATCCTAATAAGCTGAAAAAGTAAATGAATTTCCACAGCCCTGCCAATTAACAAATCTAAACAGAAATAGAAAAATACATAAACTAGAAAGACTACTTAAAGCCTAACAACAAGAATATTAAATGATAAAAACACTTGAGATGTCTAATCCAGAAACAAGACAGATTTCTCTATTATGATTATGTTGGAGATTCTAATACAATAAATACCATAAACGTTGAAAAAAGTTTTAGATTTAAGGTTTTCTACTCCATTAAAAAATTGAGTAACAAAAAAAAAAAGTAAAAAAAAATGAGTAAGAATACTGATGCCAGCTAGATAAGAAAAAACTAGCAATAAAAAGATGGGAATTTGGGGCGCCTGGGTGGCTCAGTGGTTAAAGCATCTGCCTTCGGCTCAGGTCATGATCTCAGGGTCCTGGGATCGAGTCCCGCATCGGGCTCTCTGCTCAGCGGGGAGCCTGCCTCCTCCTGTCTCTCTCTGCCTGCCTCTCTGCCTACTTGTGATCTGTCAAAAAAAAAAAAAAAAAATCTTAAAAAAAAAAAAAAAAGATGGGAATTAGGTTCCATTCACAATAGCGACAAAAAACCACAAACCCAGCAATAAACTTGACAAGAAAAGTGCTTCAACTATATAATTAAAATTCTAATAGTCGATTGGAGAGCATGCAACAATCCTTGGAGAAAAAGTGCTTCTGGATGGGAAGACAGGTCTATTCAAAACCTCAAAACTTTTCTGTAACTGGACATAACTTTATAAAGTTCTTAGGTTTGAAATTGCCCCCAAATATCTGAAAAATAGTGCTAGCTTCATCTTAGCAGATAACATAATACTTTTACTTTACCACATGAAAAAGCAAGTAGAAATAAGTAAATCAGGAAATGATGAGCATTGTTTCAATTCAGGTTGACAAGGATAATTTTGATCATGTGGTATGAACATAAAAGGGCACCTATCTATCAGAGCCCTACCTTATACCATATACAAAAAGTTTGAGAGATTATAAATGGGTGAATTTTAGAATTTTAGAAGATGTTCAGTTTTGAGATGGAGTTGACCTTAGGACTGAAAATCCAAAAGCAACTACAGAAAAAAAAAAAAGGAAACTTGATAATACAAAAACTTAAAAGTGTCTGCATGACAAAAAGAGCATAAACAGTCAAAAGACAATGATAAAATGGGAAAACCTCGCATACTGATAAGTACTCAACAAAAATTTATTCGACTAGTCATCAAAATTATAAATTACTACAGCACACTAGATAGATTTTTTGCCAAGTTTGCAGAAGCTGGAGAATCATTGCCTTCAGTTCTGTCAAGGACACAGAGAAATCCAGCACTTTTGTACACTGCTGAGGACACTGAGAAAGTCATCGGTCTTTCTTTTGCTAAGTGCCTGCCAAAATTTAGTACATACATATTCTGGAGAACCCAGTGTACAGAAAGGAAAGTATGTTATTTAATGATAATAAAGACATTTGTCTGTAGTAGCAAAGAGGAAAAACAATGTGAACATCAACAGCCGAATGAATATACTGTAGTATACCCTTAGTAATGCCCAAATACAGGGAAGGCCTATCCATGTTAAAAGGAATTACTTATATATAGAATGATTCCATTTCTTAGATATCCCTGTAACAATTTATATGTGCATCTGTGTTTATAGAAGAGGCATCGAAGGATCTATCCCAAACTGCTGATACCTTCAGATGGATAGGATTGAGCTGTAGAAGTGGGGGGTAAGGAGTAAATCAACTTTTTTAGATACTTTATGTTTTGAGGATCTACTTTTATTTGATCAACAATGAAAAAGTATGTTTAAAATACAAAGTTCTTATTTCTGCAGGTGAAAAAAATGATACTAAAGTTGATAATTTAAGAAATAGTGGTAGAAATAAAAACTTCTTGGAATTATGGCAGCAGCCACCGGAAGAAACAGAAAACAGGGAGGGGATTGTCTAAAGGTGAGGTGGCAGGCTTTTAAGACGAAAGAGGCTGCATATTCTCCAAGATGACAGGGCTTACAGGGCTGTACATATGCCCTACAGAAGGGCTTTAAATGCCTTCATGACCAAAGTAATCCATATTAAGAAAGCAAAAGCCAAATACATAAAACAAGAACCACATGAATGACAATTATATATGTAAGTTGGGTCTCAATAAACTGAAAGCACTTTTTATACTCCTCACCATACCTTTAACACAACTTTTAGGTTATCCTCAAGTAGGAAAGTAGCGACATTCAAATGAGTTAAGGTATAAGTAAAAAGGACCACAAACTTTATTAAAAGTCAGTAAAGGTAACATATAGTATGTACAGATGGCACATGGTGCCAATTTTATTTGCAGTTATTATAGTACTCCAACTCATGTTTACAAGTTACACCTTTGCCACAGCCTTGGCTAAATCTTGAACTAGTGCAGAATTTAGCTGTGCCAGCGTGCTGATCTTCGCGTGCTTAGATGTGGCATACTTGTTCTTGATGGTCTGGAAGAGAAAAGCATAGTAGTTAATGAAGTCAAAGAGGAAAACATTGTAAGATCCAGTGATGCAGATACTCACTTAAAACATCCAATACTTTAAAATATGCTATGCATTGAGGCGCCAGGGTGGCTCGGTAGGTTAAGCATCTAACTCTTGGTCTTGTTTCAGATCATGATCTCAGGGCTGTGAGACCAAGTACGGCACTGGGCTACTACACACTAGGCATGGAGCCTGGTTAAGATTCTCTCTCTCCCATAAAATAAGATGAAATCAGAGATGGAAACAAACTGTAAGAGATTCTGAATTCTAGGAAACAAACTGGGGTTGCTGGAGGGGAGGTGGGTAGGGAAATGGGTTAACTAGGTGATGGGTTTTAAGAAGGGCACATGACGTAATGAGCCCTGGGTGTTACATGTTACTGATCCATCACTGAATTCAACCTCTGAAACTAATACAATATATATAAATTAACTGAATTTTTAAAAAAGATTTTATTTTTATTTATTTATTTTTTAAGACTTTATCTATTTACTTGACAGAGAGAGACACAGCAAGAGAGGGAACACAAGCAGTGGGGGGTTCGGAGAGGGAGAAGCAGGCTTCCTTCTGAGCAGGGAGCCTGACGTGGGGCTTGATCCCAGGACTCTGGGATCATGACCTGAGCGGAAGGCAGACGCTTAACAACTGAGCCACCCAGGTGCCCCAAAGATTTTATTTATTTAACAGACAGATCACAAGTAGGCAGAGAGGCAGGCAGAGAGAGTTAGGGGGAAGCAGCCTCCCCGCGGAGCAGAGAGCCCGATGCGGGGCTCGATCCCAGGACCCTGGGATCATGACCAGAGCCGAAGGCAGAGGCTTTAACCCGCTGAGCCACCCAGGCGCCCCTAAATTAACTGAATTTAAATTAAAAAAAAATTCTCTCCTTCTCTACCCACCACCACCTCCCATCTCTCACTCTCACACACGTACAAAATAAATAAAAAAGGAAAAATAAGCCATGAATTTACAGACATGAAATCTTAAGTATTTTCATTCTGTACCCTCCCACATCCCCCGCAACATCTTACAGTATCCCTGACTTACCATGTGCTTTGTAAGCCCACGATTCACCATGACTATATTCTTAGCCAGGTGTTGCATAACACTTAGAAGGGATTCTTCAGTGTATGATAGATAATGCTGTAGAGTTGGTGTCTATGGCAACAAAAGCTAATGTTAGAAATGCTCATCAATAATGGTTTTCATAATATTTCTGTATCTTAGTCAAGAGTAGAGTAGGAAGAGATTCCCTAGGACTGATTATAACTGAAATTTAAGATAAACTTACGATGCCTTCTTCCCCAAACACTCTTCTTTCATGCTTCTCTAGGATCCTGTACTTAAATCTATTATACACATGTGCTCAAATTCTTTGACACCAATATTCTCATGCATAGTTCTACTCCTAGGGCATAGGGTAGCACATGACACATAGGAGAAATATTTGGTGAATCAATGAGTATGAACGAACTTCTAGCATGTCATTTCACCTGAGTGTCTTCATTTATATCCAAAGATGAAATTATGTAATGAAGTGGGAGTATCTTATGAACACATAGCAAACAAGATATCATTTTTAATCATTCTCTCAGTAGATGCTATAATTTTAGAAACCATTAGAATAGTCCTTTAAGGGCGCCTGGGTGGCTCAGTGGGTTAAGCCGCTGCCTTCGGCTCAGGTCATGATCTCAGGGTCCTGGGATCGAGTCCCGCATCGGGCTCTCTGCTCGGCAGGGAGCCTGCTTCCCTCTCTCTCTCTCTGCCTGCCTCTCTGTCTACTTGTGATCTCGGTCTGTCAAATAAATAAATAAAATCTTTAAAAAAAAAAAAAGAATAGTCCTTTAATGTAAAAAGTCCAGTATTCATACAAACATCACTTATAATTTAAAAACTCAGGGTAACCTAAGTCTTCGTGACAGAGCTTACCCATTCACCGTTATCAAGAATTTTCAGTGCTAAGCAAAAAGCTCCTGCTGCAATCTGAGAAGGAGGAAAGTGCACCATATCGTAGTCCAACATAGTTAGTTCCATCAGGTATTTGGCCAAAGTATGTTGCTCAACATCAACCTGAAACAAAACCCACAGGTCTCTCAACTTCCGTTAGAGAATTCTGTACTGGCAATAAGCGGTATGCCTGTAACTATAATCACAAATGTTTGTCTATTAACTCTCAAATGCAACTCCCCATGGAAGGCCTTAATGAAAATTGGAAATAAAGAATATTATTTCTTCTTCATACAGATTTATAAGTCAGCTGAATTAGATCTGCTTGGTTAGCAATACTCCATCATGTACCATACTAAAGGTTACCAAAGAGAACTGTACCTCTCCGATCTTAGATGCTCTCCGAAGGAAATGCAGGGGTAGAGGGCGGCCCAGACCAAAATTTAAAGATCTTAGAATCTTCATTTCCATCTGTCTGATTTGGTGCTTAGTGTAAGTGTTGTCCGTCACAAAGGCAAAGTCACCAATTTCTGGAGGGTACATTTCTTCATATTTGCTTGCAATAAACATGGCAGTGACACCAACCAGCTGCAGCATCTTCTTGGGCACACAGTTATTCTGCAATGGGAATTCCAACTGGATGAACAACTAATATGTACTTGAAAAAGGAGACAAGAGAGCTATGAAGGGGACATGGGAAAAACACTCTCACAGCAAAATCTGAATAACACTACCCCAAAACAGATGTTAGCTGAAAAATTCTTTTGTGTTTTTTTTCTTAATTTTATTTACTTGAGAGAGAGAAAGAGAGCATGAGCATGGGAGGAGGGTTAGAGGGAGAGGAAGAAGCATACTCCCCACTAAGCAGGGAGCCCAATGCCGGGCTTGATCCCAGAACCCTAAGATCATGACCTGAGCCGAAGGCAACCAGGCGCCCCTGAAAAAGTCTGTTTCTTATGACTCTGCTAGGAACCTAAAGGGAGAATCCTCAATTACTGAATTATGCTCACCTGCATGAACCGATCAATAATGGAAACAGTCATGTACATGGTCTCCTGAAGTAACCTGAACTTCATCTGAACCTGTACTAGCCAGTCAATAAGGATAGCTCTCATGTTTCCAGTGACTTCACGACCCAGTAGGTATTTTGGTCTGATGGCTTGCTCTTCCTGCAAAAGAATGAGGATTATCCTTTAGAAGCAAGACTCCTTGTGACATTTCTGTCCACAAATCTTAATCACCACAGAACAGTAATGGAGAGTTCAGAATTTCTAACAGTCCTCAACTTAATTATTCATACAGTCACTACATAAAGCTGTCACTGAGGAAGAAAGCCAACATTAAATAGGACAGTTTGACAGGTTTTTCATTTTGTACAGATTTCACTCTGTTCAACCTACCATCATTGCTACTTGCCTACACTCTGTACCCATTTCGTCCCAGACAAAGGTATCATGCCATCATCTTATCTTTTCACTTATGACTCTAAATCCAGAACCTGAGCTGGGTGAAGCAGAGAAAACTAGCAGCAGCTACTTTCCAGATCAGCTGGAACCTATGTGCTATCTCCACTCTCCCACTCTAGGATTTAAACCCCCAAAACACCATAGGGAAAAATAATGAACCATCAAGGACCAGCACATGCACCTGCTAAACCCACTCGGCCAAAGTTATAATTTTATTAAAAAGAAGGGAGAAAAAACCCCAAAGTGGAAGGCTGGTCCTGGCAAGGAAGTTTCTATAGGACAATCCTATAGAAAATGGATGCCCAAAGAGAATGCATTATTAACAAACAACTGGGCAAATCTGGTAGTATACAGCTTGTTAGTATACAGAATTCTTCCTTATCTTGAGGTGGGGGACTAATGCCACTAATAGGAAGTTTCAGAAGTGATATGAAATGAAAGAAAACCAAAAACTTTGAGTGTATCCTCTTGGACACAAAGAACAATTTCCCTGGTATCACATGCACATCAGCCACATTGACGCAAAATGCCTGTATTGCTGCTGGTTATAATTTTTCAGAATTTTCTCCATTACCATCCATCTCCTGCCTCTAATCCTCAAACTCTTGAGCCTGGGACTTGCCCACTCCTAACTGTGATAGACATAAATATATCATTCAACCTATGGACATTCGTTAGAGTTATGGTTATTAGCCACTGTCACTTTGTACTTTACCTGTTCAAATGGCAAATACAGATGTCCTTGGCTTGGTTAGGGACTTGATTTTTTAGTATATGTACTGCCGAAGCGAGCACAGTGACTTGATTTTTGCTACTTCATGAATGAGAATTTGAAATGGAATCTACTGTTAAGAAATACTGTTCACATCCTGCTTGAATTATTATAAACTCTCAGTGGAAAAAACGTCTTTAATCAAGCTAAATGCAGTAAAAAAAAAAAAAGATTCTAAAAACAATACAGACCTCAAGTTGTCTCAGATAAGCATAAATATCTTTTACATATTCACTACAAAGGTTTGGATCAGCTCCATCTTCAGCATCCACATCATTCACTGCAAGAATTACATCAGAGAATGCCTGACACAGATATTCTTCTGCAGGGGCACATCCAGATGTTTCCATTGGGCTTGGAGAGGGAGTATCAACCTTGAAACAGAAAGACCTTTTGAAATAATAGCAAAGAGAAGCATACAATCTGGAAATGAAGGCCCAATTATTGGTACTAACTCAAGAGACCAACTGCTAAATAGACATATAATTCATAATTCATTTCCTTAAAGGAAAAGTATCTTTTTTTCAAATTTATTCAATCTCTCCTTAGGACATGATTAATACAAAAAAAAAAAGCAAAAAGACAAAAACAGACCGAGAGTTTTAAGTTAGCAGAACCCAAACCGACAGGTAAAACAGAGAAAAAGCAAACAAAATCACATTCTAGACTTTCCTCCGAAGGAAATGAGTAAGCAATCTGTTTATCAGGATCATGTGAAGTCAACCCAAATGAATGACAGTCTTTAGTCTTTATATCAAAACATGGACTGCTTCTCACTGCCCAGGAAAACACAAGTTCTGTCCTGACTACTTAGGATTAACAAAGTTCATTACTTCTTTAAAAGATTTTTATTTGTCAGAGAGAGAGAGAGAGAGAGAGAGAGCACAAGCAGGGTGAGTGCAGGCAAAGGCAGAGGGAGAAGCAGGGTCCCCACTGAGCAAGGAGCCTGTATATGGGACTCCATCCCAACACCCTGGAATCATGATCTGAGCTGAAGGCAGATGCTTAACCACTCAGGCATCCCTAGTTCATTATTATTATGAGCCATTTCCTTCAAACTCCAGCTATCCCTTTGTTCAAACATTTATTGACATTTTCTTCTAGTCAAGCTCTATGCTAGACACTGCCTTTTTTTTTTTTTTAAGATTTTTATTTATTTGTAGACACTGCCTTTATAGCGTCCTCAAACGGCTTTGAATATAGGAGAGAGAAGTAAATGAAATGATACTGATCCTAAGAACAAGGGTGAGGTTAAGTTAGGCAGTTTCAGGAGTTGATGGTTGAGCTGCTTTGAAGGATGAAAAGGTAACTATCTAAAAGAATGAAGAGTGAGAAGGGCTTTTCTTAGTAAGTGGGAGAGGAAAGTCAAGGATCAGTATGGGACTTTCAAGGAATCCTCATGTAGGCCACTATGGCTAATTAAGAGACACCGCATGCTCCAGGTTTCATGTGTTATGTCCAGAATGTCAATACTAAAGTAATAGCCTCAAATCTCCTACTCTTCGATATAAGGAATTGGACTGAATGACTTTACAGATCATTTTTCTCAACTGGTTTTAACTATTATTTGTTTCCTAATTTAAAGATGTAATTGTCTTTATTAAGTGATTCGTGAAGTGGGCATAGACCCATCTACCAAGTAGAGATGCTCCTTAACTATGTTTTAGTTTACTTTCCTTTTAAGATTTTATTTATTTATTTATTTATTTATTTATTTATTTATTTGAGAGAGAGCTAGAGTGAGCGAGCACAAGCAGCAGGGGAACAGCAGAGGGAAAGGGAGCAGGCTCCTCCCTGAGCAGGGAGCCTGACAAGGGCCTCCATCCCAGAATCCTGGGATCACGACTTGAGCTGAAGGCAGATGCTTAACGGATGGAGCCACCCAGGCACCCCCTTAACTACATTTTAAAAATTAGAGCTTCATCAAATGAGCTCATTGTAATTTCAGCAAAGGAGCCCCTTTTAGTGCCCGGTTTCTCCTTCACAGGAGTGGATACACTTATGTAATTGATATTTAATAAGTTCTTAAATTTTAGTTTTGAGGCTGTTAAACTCATCTACTCTCTGAAAAGCTACATTTTTCTTTCCGCATTACACCTTTATCTATTCCACTGTTACAGGGTTATTAATTACTCAGTGGCCACATTAGGGAGTAAAAGGATTCAAGATAATCTGTGTCAGTCAAGGAATTTTGGTCTGATGGCATGTACCAAAGACTGCAAAATCTTCAGTCCATGCAGCTCTCATTTAATACCATTCACAGGGGGGAAAGGGCAGTGTAACAAAATGCTGAAGAGCCTAGATTCTCCAGCCATATGGCCTGGGTTTACATCCACAGATGCCACTGATGAGATGGGCGACTCTAGAAAAATTACTTAACACTTCTCTAAGCCTTATCTAAAGGGTAGAGGTAATAATACAAGTGAGAGAGTCCATGTGAAGAATATGCCACTTAAAAGCCCTTCAAGTGCAGAGCAAAGACCACCTCCTGCCAAGTACTCTATAAACGTTACTAGTATCACTATTTGTTCGAATGCTATTATCCCATGGGTTATTAAACGAGGGGAAAGAGACACCCAACAGACGGGATGGAGAAAGGCAAAGTAAGTTTACCAAAATAGGCTCAGGCGAAAGTTTTTCTTCTTTAACGGGCTCAGGTTCTGGCTCAGGTTCTGGCACAGGCTCGGGTGCCTTCTCCAGAGGTTTAGGTAGTTTTTTAGCAATAACTTTTCCAGGAACCAAAGTTTTTGCTTCCTGTGGATGAAAGGACGGGAAATGAAATGTTTTTCCACCACAGGTCCCTGTTGTAGGGGGGACTCTTACGGAGAGAGAAGTTGGCTCAGGAAGATAGTTACCTTTTTCAGAGGCAATTTGGCCTGTGGTTGTTCGCTGACTTTGTTACCAATGTCTCCGAGGGCTGTTCTCGGCCTCAGCCCGGGCTTGGAGGCCGCAGTCGTGGCCAGAGGCACGCGCTTTGCGCCTGCCATGCTGATCTTCGCCTTATTTTCCACATTAACTTTTGCGTTCTGTAAGAACCAAGACCGCTTTGAGAGCCGGCCCGCCCAGGTTAGAGTTAAGTCAAGGGTCAGTGAAGGTGGGGCGGGGCAAGAGAGAGGCTTCTCAGAATAAACGCTGGCTGCAAAAAAATAGGTTCCCAAGGGAAACCGGGGTTCCAGGATCTACGCTTCGGCTGTGACAAGCCCATTTCTTCCCAGAACCTCCTCACTCCCTTATTGAGGGGCTGCCTGTTTAGTCCCCCGCGACCCTGAAATATTTTAATTTACATTTGAAAGGAAATCGGAAAAGCCTCCAACCGCAGGCACCTTCTCTCCGGGAAGGGGGTTCCGCGGCTGGTGGGAGCTCACTCAGGGGCCCTCTACCATGTTTTAAAAGAGGTTTCCTCTTGACCCTCCACCGCCCTCCCTCCTCGCGCCGAACATCTATCCCAGGACGGCCCCGTTCTCTTCCTCTCTCCGTCGGACCCCCAAAGGCCCCACCGTGCCAGGGGCCCACCGATCCTTCCATCCTCCTCCCCAAACCGCTGCCCTAGTCCACTCGGGGAGTGTTGGGGGAGCGGGAGGGAGGGCTCCGGCAGAGAACAGAGGACGAGAAGCCACGCAGCGCCGTCCGCAGCAGCTCACCCTGGTGACCCGGAGTGCCATGGCTTCTTCTTCACCAGGCAGCAGCTCAGTGGGGAGAAGCAGAGCACGGGAGTCACCAACCAGCCGGGGACCTGAACCCCGCGCAGCTCAACAGCCGTTCCGCCGCAGCACGCCGGGAGGAGCCGGGCCCGGCAGCAGGTTTAAACCCCGCACTGCTCCCTCCTTATTGGTCTGTTCGTGGCACTCGCTCCCTTCCCATTGGCGGCTGCAGGTTCCTCCGAGAATGCGTTTCCCGGGCGACCCCGCGGAGACGTTCGAGAGAGGGCGGGGCCAGGCCTTCGCTCTTGGGCAGCTGCGCGGCCACCTGGAGAGGAGAGCTGGAGGTGCGCCGCCCACCTGGAAGGGAGAGCTTGGGCGCCGCGGGAGCTAACCTGGAGGACCGCTGGTGTCCCTACCATGAGTGACAGTGGAGCAGCCTGATTTTGAGACCTGTCCCACTTACTGTTACACACTTTCCTTTTTGCGGCGGCCTGTGGTACATTTCCATTTCAATATCCAGCAGCTCTCTAGGTGAAGGACCTGAAGCTGAGAGAGGCTTTGAGTGACTTTCCCAGAGCTACAAATTAGTAAATGGGAAATAAACTTCGGTTATTTTGTGGATCCCTGATGTTTTTACAACACTAATTGTCTCTTAAGAATCTTGTCAATTTCAGGGCTCCCGGGTGGCTCAGTGGGTTAAAGCCTCTGCCTTCGGCTCAGATCATGGTCCCAGGATCCTGGGATCTAGCCCCACATCGGGCTCTCTGCTCAGCAGGGAGCCCGCTTCCCTCTCTCTCTGCGGCCTCTCTTGCCTACTTGTGATCTCTGTCAAATAAATAAAATCTTAAAAAAAAAAAAAAGAATATTGTCAATTTCTTAATCTGCCAGATTACTTTAATCGAATTTCTTCCCAAAGCCAATCTTTTGTTTTAGCTTTGTATTTGAAAATAATTTCGGGGCACCTGGGTGACTCAGTCAGTTAAGAGGCTGCCTTCGGCTCATGATCCCAGCCTCCTGGGATCGAGCCCCATGTTGGGCTCCCTGCTCAGTGGAGAACCTGTTTCTCCCTCTCCCTCTGCCTGCCTCTCTGTCTACTTGTGTTCTGTCTGTCAAATAAATAAATAAAATCTTAAGAAAAAAAAAAAAAGAATTCCAAATTTAGGGAAGTTGCAAACAAAAATATTACAAGGAACACATGTATACCTTTTGCCCAGATTCAAGTATCCTTAACATATTACCTCATTTGCTTTATCATTTACTTCTTTCCTTCTGTATGTAGATCTATGTCTAACTGTACATAAAAACTTTCTTCCTAAACATGGGAGGGTAAATTCTATATATTTATGACCCTTGGTCCCTTCTTTGGTGTGTATTTCCTAAGGAAAAGGTATATTCTCCTACATAACCGTAATAGTTATTAACTTCTTAACTTCACATTATTAAATATTTCATGCAGTCTAGTTTATCTTCCAGTTTTGTCAGTTGATCTAGTAAGGTCCCTTCTAGTATTTTCCCTACTCCAGGACGGGATGCAGTCTAGGGCAAGATGTTACATTTAGCTTCCTTTAATTTGGAATACTTCCCTCAGCTTCTCCTACAATGCACATGATAGCTCTCACCCTTCCAAGTACACGCAAATAATTATCCAGCCCAAAATGTCAACAGTCTGGAGGTGCCAAACTTGAGAAATCTTGCCAACTATGTACGTACCTATAGACTCATTTCTATTCAGTATACTAGTTTTGTTTTTTTTTTAAGATTTTATTTATTTATTTCTCAGAGTGAGCACAGGCAGACAGATTGGCAGGCAGAGGCAGAGGAAGAAGCAGGCTTCCTGCTGAGCAAAGAGCCCGATGCGGGACTCGATCCCAGGACGCTGGGATCATGACCTGAGCCAAAGGCAGCAGCTTAACCCACTGAGCCACCCAGGCGTCCCACAGTATACTAGTTTTTGATGTTTAATTAGCCTAAGTATCATGAATCACCTCCTTTCTTTATGATACTTAAAAACTTGGGGCGCCTGGGTGGCTCAGTGGGTTAAGCATCTGCCTTTGGCTCAGGTCATGACCCCAGGGTCCAGGTATCTAGCTCCACGTCAGGCTCCACACTCAGTGGAGAGCCTGCCTTTCTCTCTCTCACTGCTGCTCCCCCTGCTTGTGTTCTCTCTTTCTCTCTCTCTCTGTCAGATAAATAAATAAGTCTTTTAAAAAACAAAGCAAAACAAAACCTTCTGTGACTTTCTCCTCAGTGAACTATTCAATGTGAAGTCAATGAACTCAATGTTCTCTCCTCTGGCCAAGTAAATAGGGCTGACTACATGCCAGGCCCTGTTCTAAGTTCTAGGAATACAGGTCTGAATGAAACAGAGAAGATCTTCACTTTCACAAACCTTCTATTCAGTAGGAGAAAAGAGAAATGAAACAAGTAAACAAGTAGGTGAAGAAAAAAAAAAAAAAAAAAGGCCAGATACTAGTCAGGGCTAGGCAGAGAATGAAAAGAAGTGATGTAGAGTAACTTGGTGCTCAGAGATAATCTGAGAAGGTGATGTTAACTCCTAGGTTAAGCCGAGGCTTAAATGACAAGAAAGAAAACATTCTAGATAGAGGATATAGCCTGTGAAAACCCAGTGATAGGAATGAGTTTGTCATATTCAGAAAAGCCAGTATGGCTAGAGTATAGGGGACAGAGTAGAAGTGAGATTGAAGAAATTGGAAAGAATAAATTTATACAAGTCCTTGTAAACCCAGGGGTTTGAGTCAGGGCTATGTAAGTACCTTGGAAGGCTTTGGAGGGTTTCAAGCCAAGGTGTGGCATAATCCATCTTTCAAAAAGATTACCTAAGTTACTGTGGAGAGAATGTATATAGGTGGGGAGGAGGAGGAAGGAGGAGGAAGGAGAAGAACAGCAAGAGGAGCCATAAGAGGCTATTGTAACTGGCCAGGCGAAAGATGATGGCTTGGATGGTGCTAGGAGCACTACATAGAAAGGGATGGCTTCTGGATAAATTTTGGAGGTAGATTTGCTGGGTCTTGATGGCTTGCCTACTTGGGAGTGAGAGAAAATGGAATCAAGGATAACTCCCAGGTTTGGGCCCAAGTCACTGAAACAGAAAGACTTAGAGATGAGCAGCTTTTAGTAGGTAGCAGGTTATGTGTAGGAGATTAAGAATTCTGCTGTATTTGGAATGCTTAAAGATAGGCAGGAGAAGAGGTCCACTAGACAGAATCAGGGTGGGAGCTAGATGGCTGTAGATGGTATTTAAATCATGACATGGAAGAGATCATCTAGAGAAGGAATGTAAAGAAGCCTACATGCCAGGAGCAAGCCCTGGGGGCCTCCGTATTTAAAGATTGAACAAAATGGCAGAAGCCAGTTAAGAAAATTGGGCAATAAGATCAGAGAGGCAGGAGATCAAACAGTGATGTCTCAGAGAAGAGAAGGTGATGGATGTTTCACTGAGGGAACAGTGATTTACTGGGATAGACTAAATATACATATTATCTGTTTCTTCCCGAAGACAGTAAAGGGATTTAAAAAAATGCACAACTCTCAAAATAAAATAAAATAAAATAATACAAATGAATAAATAAATAATGCACAAATCTCAAGGATAGGTGAGGAGACACTAAAGACATTTCGAAAGCCGGAAAGCCAATTGAAAAGTGGTGATAGAAGGAGCTGTCTGCTCAAGAAAGTTGAAATCTAAGCTGGCAATGGAAAACCAAGAATCAAACTGATTCTGGCTTTAGACTCCAGCAGTTTCATGAATTGGAGTAAACAGGAGCCTGCAAAATTGATGGTATAGGTGGAGTTGCAAACAGAATTCGTTGCTTCTCTCCTGCTCACCTGGGTACAGTGAGGGTGCAGCCTCTTTCCGGTCCTAGCTGAGCACTAGAAGTTTATATTCGGGGATTCTGAACTAAAGGAACTCTGGATTCAGACACTAAGCAAGCTGAAAGAGGAGGAAATAAAATTCTTCGATACCAAATGGTAAATCCTTCAGTTCCTTTCTTCCACTCAGTCCCCTAAATGCGGGTAGCTGAACTTATACCATCCAAAACAGGATAAGGGCAGGCTTCTCTGGAAATGGACCAGCCCCAGAGAAAAGTCTCAAACAAACTGATGGTTAGGGTATCCAAAGAAGTGGTTTGGTCACCCGGAGGGCAAAGCTTACTACTTGACCAACTTGTACACTGACTCTGAACTTCTCCTCCTCCTCCTCCTCCTCCTCCTCCTCCTCCTTCTTTTTTTCTTTTTTAAGATTTTAGTATTTATTTGTGAGAGAGAGAGCACAAGCAGGGCGAGCAGCAGACAGAGAAAGAAGCAGGCTCCCCACTGAACAAGGAGCCAGATGAGGGAATTGATCTCAGGACCCTGAGACCTGAGCTGAAGGCAGATGTTTAACCAATGAGCCACCCAGGCATCCCCTGAACCTGAACTTCTAATCAACATTTTAGTGTCTAATTTGTAACTATTAATAGCCAGCCAGTGAGCACCAGACATTTGAAGAAATGCTCCAATTGGAAAGAAAGAGACCAAAATAAAGAAAAAGAAACTATAAGTGAACAAGCTAAAAATGAAAATGACTTACCACTCATATCATCAGAAAAATAAAAATAATGCATCCACAAGTAACTTTATAAGAGACAGCTGGGAATTTAAAAATATGAAAGCAAAAATTAAAAATGTCATAGGTTTGAAAGGAAAGGTCATGGGACTTTCCTAGAAAAAAAGATAAAAAGACAAAGAGGTAAACTATAGAAAACCTTAGAAAATTAGAAATCATTCCACAAGGTCTAACACACAACTAATAGTTCCAGAAAAATAGACCAGAGAAAATTCAGAGAGGATACTGTCAAATATATAATAGTGGAAAACTGCCCAGAACCAAAGAACATGAGTTTCATGCATTCACGTCTGAGCACTCTGCAAAATAAATGAACAAAAGGTGGATTGCGGGGCTCCAGGGTGGCTCAGTTGTTTAAGCATCTGCCTTCACCTTAGGTAATGATCTCAGGGTCATGGGATCAAATCCTTCATCTGGCTCCTTGCTCAGCGGGGAGTCTGCTTCTCCTCACTCTCCCTCTGTGTTCTCTTGGTCTCTCTATTTCTCAAATAAATAAATAAAAATCGTAAAAAAAAAAAGAAAAGATGGATCCCATGACACACTATGCTGACATAAAACATTAAGAATGAAGGGAAGAACCTAAAAGGAAACAAAATCAGATAGCATATACAAAGGATCCAGAATCAGAATGGCATTAGATTTTCTTTTTTTTTTTTTAAGATTTTATTTATTTATTTGACAGAG